CTTTATTATGATTTTGTCCTGTGGTATACATTGTGTATTCATATTGAATTACTTAGATTTATTTTTAATGACTAAATAAAATATAAACTCGAGCTATGAAGTGAAAAAAAAACAACTTTTCAACAATATCTAATTCTTCAGCCTTTACTTGGCTAAAGCGGCAACATGTCAACAATATCAAACTCTCCAGCTTATTCTCGGCTAAGTTTGCTGAGCTAGCTTGTCCTGCATCGAATTGGTCAAACTGTCCATTTTACGTCAAATGGATTCCATTATAAAAAAGCAATTTTTATAAGTTTGAGAAACTATTAAAATGTCTTGACTGACACCAGGTCATACTTAAGATGACACTGCGTAAAATAATGCTTACCCAAACCTGGACTCAGGAAGTTAAGTACACAACAAATGAGAGCCATAGGTAATGGCATCGCTGGTACCGCTATCCGATCACTCTTTCCTTTATACTGTCAGGACCCTCTACCGGCACCATCACCAGTCCCTATACCTTTTCCCATTTTTAAGTAACTGAAAATTAATAAATGTTTATTATTGAATACGATATATTGTTTTTTTGTTAGAATATTCTACTACTTCAGCCACTTACTAATTCTGCTGAATCCCCACCTACAACACAATATGATATTTTTTTACTTAAATATTTTACTTCTACAGCCACTGATTTCTACTGCTTCTGCTGCTTGCCCCATCTCTATTTCTCTCCTCATTTTCTACTCCTTTTCCTCCCCAACCCATTCTACTCCCCATACTCCTTCCTCCTCCTAATCCCTTATTATAATTGAAGTTGTTGTTCGTTTTTAAGTCTATTCACAGGCAAGCAATTTTCATGGTTTCAATTACATTCGTTCTGTCTTCTTTATAAATACAAACTATATGTATCCAGTTTCCAAAATTGTTTCCCGCGTCCACCTTTCTGAAAATAAAACTCGACATTTAAGTGAAGTTCAATTTAACACTTTATTGACTTCTTTATTAAACTGTCGGATAACTTTCAAATATTTACAGAAAGTGTACGAAGCGCTTTTTTATTCAATCAAATTGCCCCCAAAAATCAAGCTTTGAAACAAAGGCGAGACATTATCATCAGTAAATTTGGAGAGATTTGACAAATGTATAAACATACCTTTAAATAGTAGATATAAATAATTTCACTTTGAGACAACACTTCTTTTAAAGTCCTTAGACAATGTTACAATGATTATAAAAGTAATATATTAATTAACAGGTATCCCTTTACTTTTGAAAAAGTGACATCATGCATGACTCGTAAAGACAATAAGGCATTATTAATAGTAATTCTTTGTTTATAATCAATGAAAACAAAGTGGCAAGTTTTGCAAAGCAGTTGATTATATCAATGGCATAACTGCTTGTCTATGGACAGATATTTGGATGATAATTCTAATTAATGGGCCTAAAAACAAGAGTAATATTTCACCGACCGGATATGGTGTTTCTGTTAAATAAACATGGAAAAAAGCAATTGTAATATCTGGGCTATTATATATAATAGCTTATCAGAAGTTTGACTTAAATAACCGAGAATTTACGATTGGGAAAGAGGAAATAAGCAACTGCCAGAAATTGTTGAATCATTTTACTTTACGATTTTGAGTTGAATTTTACTTTTCTAACGTTAATTGGAAGATGTAAAAATGGTATTTATTTGATGATTATTATGTATTAATTAATGACATATCTACAGCTTTTGGATAATCATATAATCGTATGTCATGTGTTATTTCATAATTGATTCGGATTGTCGGAGAAATTTGTCAGTCATAATATTATTGAATTATGCCGTTTTTCCTAGGAGGTTACATAGGTTCTATTCCAAAAGTCACTCGGTAAAAGTTTTCCAATCCTTCTTGTTTCCAAGATAGTTAATTACTAGTTATCGACTAGGAGTTTAAAATGTTTTGTATGTTAAAAGTTGCTAACTTCATTTTTAGGCCTCATTTAACATATATGAACATACGGAATGACATCGTGGATGCAACTGATCTCAAAAAAACTGATAACAACATGTTCATTAAAATAGATAACAATGCTCGTAAGTTCTTTCATTTGTTCTACAATTTCCCTCTTCACCGCCTCAATAGTGATAGGTGATTTCTTAGATTGATAATATTGGCATTATTAGCTAACATACGGGCAGTCAGTGAAGTAATATCCGTATGTTTGTTCGACAAAGCTTGATTCTTTAAACAGATTATCTTTGCAACTCACATATAGCCAACAAATGGAGTCCTTGAACTACCACACTGTACCTCACAGGTGGCCTACAAATGGATTCTTTGAAAAGAGTACCATTGAAACTCATAGATAGCCTTAAATGGATTCCATGAACAGATTACCATTGTAACTCACAGGTGGCCTTCTAATGTATGGTTTGTACAGATTATCATTGTAACGCACGGGTGGCCTACACATGTTTTTGTACAGATTATCATTGTAACTCACGGGTGGCCTACACATGTTTTGTACATATTATCATTGTAACTCATGTGTGGCCTACAAATTGATTTTTGTACAGATTATCATTGTAACTCACGGGTGGCCTACCAATTGATTTTTGTACAGAATATCATTGTAACACGGGTGGCCTACACATGTTTTGTACAGATTATCATTGTAACTCACGGGTGGCCTACAAATGTATGGTTTGTACAGATTATAATTGTAACACACGGGTGGCCTACACATGTTTTTGTACAGATTATCATTGTAACTCACGGATGGCCTACACATGTTTTTGTACAGATTATCATTGTAACTCACGGGTGGCCTACACATGTTTTTGTACAGATTATCATTGTAACTCACGGGTGGCCTACCAATTGATTTTTGTACAGAATATCATTGTAACACGGGTGGCCTACACATGTTTTGTACAGATTATCATTGTAACTCATGTGTGGCCTACCAATTGATTTTTGTACAGATTATCATTGTAACTCACGGGTGGCCTACCAATTGATTTTTGTACAGAATATCATTGTAACACGGGTGGCCTACACATGTTTTGTACTGATTATCATTGTAACTCACGGGTGGCCTACAAATGTTTTGTACAGATTATCATTGTAACTCACGGGTGGCCTACACATGTTTTGTACAGATTATCATTGTAACTCACGGGTGGCCTCCACATGTTTTGTACAGATTATCATTGTAACTCACGGGTGGCCTACACATGTTTTGTACAGATTATCATTGTAACTCATGGGTGGCCTACCAATTAATTTTTGTACAGAATATCATTGTAACTCACAAAACTGGATTTTTGCTGTGGTTTCATTTACAGTCAAAACTAGGTGAATGAAATATGAAACGTGACAAATACTACACTATTCGTACTAGTAATTTTAATAAAATGTCTTAAAACTCGCATTTTTATACTTGACATCTATATAGTTTAATGTTAACGCCGCCTATACCCTGAACATATAGAATAAAATAAATTCATCTTCTAAGTCTTCTGCTGAACAAGATTGACAATTCAAATAATTTCTTTGTATTTTGTTTCAAGTAAATCTCTCAGTATGTCTTCATCCTAATTATAAGTTATTAGTTAGTGAAGATAAGAGTGTTATTTTCAATACCTCCACATTATTTTAGGTGAAAACTGTTAACATAAGCAACGCAATTAAGAAAAATGAGCTGTTTGTCACTTTGTTGCTATCCCGCCTCATTAGTCTGATGAATTCAATATTTAATATTCACGAAAAATTAGACGAAAATATAACAAAGATGCCATAATTATGGTCGTTTACAATATAATATGATATGATATGATATAATATAAAATAATATAATATAATTTGATATGATATATGATATGATATGTAATATGATATATAATATGATATCATTTTATTTTATCTATTATATGATTTAAAAATAGCTGCAATCTCATGGGTCAAAACATAACGTATATAATTATATTAGATATACATGTATACATTTTGTGAGATAAGGGTACTTAATGGTTTTATTTCAAAATCAATAAAATAAGTATTATTCATTTTGGACATATACATGTATATTCAAAAAGAATTATTGTCTCGATATTTATTACTTGAATATTTGACGATGTCTCGACGTTAAAGAGTTTTATTTTCGTTCAACCGTCCTATAGTAAAATAATTCGAAACTCTTCCTAAGAATTTGTAACACCGCGGGTAAGCAACTTTGGTCACGTGACTACAAAAGTCAACGTACATGGCCAAAATAGTACAGCTCAGGTAATACTGTATTTATTAAGGTTGATAAATACAAAAAAATGACAGCATGAAACCCGTTATTTTTCCATTAAAATATTCTCTTATACAATTCAATATGTGAAATGTTACTTAGAACTGACATGCGTATCGTTTATAAAGTAATTATCAACACTTTTATACAAGAATGTGTACGTTGTCATTGACAAATTATAAATATTGTTTGAATGTTCTCAGAAATTACAAAACGTTAGACGACACCAAATGCATTTTTAGAAAGCATCGGAAATGCCGCGGTCGGTAGGCTATATTGCAGAATTTAAAAATTAGAAAAATAATAACTAAAAAACTTACCTCAGCGGCATTTTATGGCCATGCACGTTGACTTTTGTGGTCCCGTGACCAAAGTTGTTTAATGTAGGTAATGATAAAACAAAATAAAATTATTCTTCATCTGATGAACATATATTTGCTGTTTTTGTTCACAACGTCTTCATTGGCGCTATCGTTTAATTTACGGATGGTCGGTGGAAAAAAAAAATGCTCAGAGACAAACATAACTTTTCAAAACTTTCTTCAGCTATTTTTCACACGTGTGATTATTTTTTTTTTATCAAAATAAAAGAGCTTTTCACATATTGATAAATCATAAATATCCAAGGGAGTTAAAGCTGAAACCATGTAGCTACTCATACTACAAGAGTTATCTTACCGACCTTTGAAAAATCGAAAGAGGAAGTAGAAATTGGAAATTTTACAAGTTACCCTTGGAAGTGCTTGTTAACGATAAATATTTGACAAAAATTCGTACAATTAAAAGTAAGTTCAATATATATTTGATAATTTATATAATAATCATGTATACATGTAGACTAAAATTTTCGTTTATTTTCCATAAAATTGTAGCTGAAGTTTTGTCGTAATTTCATTTAAGCTTTAATTGTGACGTAATTAATGACTATTAATTACATTTACATTAATGATAACGATAGAAATCGTTTCACGTTGAAAAATGCAAATTGGTACATATAGGAAATAAATCTATGAAGCAAGTAAAGCAAGTATTTCTCCAAGGCCAGTTTCTACAGTTTTTAAATAATATTCTAATTGGTCCTTGTTCAAAGAAAAGTTATTGATACATAATGAAATTTCTGTACATTTTGTAATATTCCAATATGAGATTGTTAGAAATGAGATGTGAAATGGTGTAAAATTAATTGAATTAATTTTTAAACTTTTCAAAACCGAAAGAAGAAGTAAAAAATATATATTGGTATTTTTGTATTATCATTCTTCAATAATGTATTTTTGACATGTATCCCAGGAAACTACCATTCATTTTATCAATGGTATCATGCAACCTTTTGTTCTTTCCCTTGTATTTCATAAAACCAGACTTATTACATTAAAGATGATTTAAACCGAAAGAAGTGAACATTTTTAACAGAAAAATACCGGCAACTTTAATATTTTTATATCTCGTTTAATTTCTAGTAACAACAAATTTTTCTATATTAACATAACCTCATTCCTTATGTTTTAACAGGGAAATATATTTATTATCATTACAGAATGTTCCAGTCACCTGAATTTTGTAAAACTTTGTCACTGAAATTATCTGAGGTATTAGAGGATGTTGGTGTAAATGAGGAAATAGTGATGAAACGAAGAAGAATGTACATGCTGAGGGACAGTTTAGCAACGATAACATTCAGATTAATTGGTGAAAAGAAAACTGTATATCATCTTGGGAGTCAGTCTGAAGGTACCACTACTTTGGGACTTGATTCAGATATTGACTTGGTATATGTAGATTATAATTATAATGTGATACAGGACTGGGCAGAGTGGAAACAGAATAAGACCAATCTTCTTATGATACAGGATGAGAATGTTACACCAGGGTATTGTTTTCTACAATTACTTCGATCTGATGAGCCACTTTTTGAGACAAACATTCCTAATGAACAATACATTAGAGATAGCATTGGGAGAATATTATTAAAAAATACATTTGTAACACCTTTTATTGGAGAAGATATTGAGCGACACGGGCCATCAAATACGATCTCCATGAACAATGAATATTGTGCCGTTGACCTTGTAATTGCTTACCCTTGCAATTCAAGACTTCAAACAACATCTCAATTTCTAGAAAGAGCTTGTGTTATGAGGTGGTTACAATCTGAAAGTGTCAGATATGCTGCTAGTTGTGATTGTTTTGTTGTTGGTACTGGTAGCAAGATTGCTACTTATCAAGAATTAGAGTGGAGAATATCCACTTCTTTAGCAGAGAGATGTTTGATGTTCAATCTAAATATTACTCAATTGCAATGCTATGTTTTACTGAAAATTATTTTGAAAAATTTTCTGAATCCCCACACAGTGAATGCTCTGTCAAGTTTTATGTGCAAAACCGTTTTATTTCATTGCGTAGAAAATACAGAACAAAGCATATGGAAAAAGGATAATATTTTTGCGTGTTTATCTTACTGCTTGCTAGAACTCCATAGCTATGTTCAAAGTGAAAATTGCCCGCATTTCATTATTTCTGATAACAACTTGATGGCCGGACATTTTACAGCTGAAGAGAAGCGAGACATTTTACAGAAATTATGTGACATAATACAGAGCGATGGGAGATATTTACTACGATTAAGCATGGATAATATTAGCCAGAGACTACAGGTCAAACTGTGTTCAGTTGTTCATATTGCATATAGTTTTCAAACCTCACTTGAAATATATGAAAAATGTTCGTCACAACTTTTCTCCAGCTTCATTAAAGGGATAAGCGCAAGTTTAATACTTGTTTTCAATTATTTGTCAAATGACCACATGTGTAATCTCAAAAAAATTATCTTAAAGTTAACAAACTACAGTGTACGAGGAAATAGAGTTGAACAACTTTCCAATCGTTGTCTGGCACCATTCATTTATTCAACACTAGGCCTAATGATGGCGTCATCAAGTATTGGTCAGAATAATCCAGTTCAATATGAAGCACTTCAGTGGCTTACATTGGGTTTGAACTCGGATGTCACATCTGGCAAACTTAAACTAGCGTCTATGTTCTACTGTGCAGGTGATGTGGATAGAGTAGAGTTCATTCTAAGACAAACTGAAAACCGATATAACTCCACTGTTGTTGAACCTTTATGTGGTTGCTGGTTATATCCACCGACAAGTCATTTGGCTGAATTTAAAAGGAAATGCAGTGAACTAAGTGAAAAATGCATCAATAGTATCACATCATGTTGTGTAAAATTCACGCAGAAAGAAGTAAATTGTGTGCCTCGAGAATTACGGTATGAAATGATGAGATCTACTCAAGATGATATGCCATATAGAAGTATGCTTGAAAAGTTTTGGATGGACTATGCTGTTGTTGATTCCCTCCCTTATCTCTACTTTTTACAATACAAGACATACAGTTATCTACAAAGACATCAGAATCAAGAACGGGCACTTAGTAACCTTGCGAAGGTTATCTTTACAGAAAGAAACTTTGGTCATAGGGAGACAGCTCTCAACCTTCTCGGTCAATGTATGGAACAAGAGAACAAACCAAGGGGAGCATTACAGTGCTATATACTTTCCCTTCAACAAAGAGAAAGAAACAATGCGGCAAATTTTCATATTTGTAATTTACTTAGAAAGTGTGCTTCAAACATGTAGAGTTCCCTCTACAAGTAAATTGACGGGGTTTGAGTTAGACCTAAGAAAATATGCTAACTTGCGCATATGTTGTTTCTTGTTAGGTTGCTACAAAATTTCTGTAGTTTGCCGTTATATTTCAGTATTATAGGATGCCGTTTTAACAAATAAACTAAAGTTGAACTGTGATCATATCATCATGATAAGCATTATATTTGTTAAGAACATGTAAATATGATATAATTTATTCAAGGAGAAAATCATTGATGAAAAAACAATGTATTTATTATGTGTCCGTTTTTTATTTCAAGTTTATTGTTGGTTTTTATGTAATACAGGTACAATCGGGAACCAAGGTAGAGCCACAGATCTTACGTAAGTTATCTGAATAGCTTCCTTACGTGACCGAATTGCACATCCCTGGCAGGAATCGAACCAACAAAGTTGAGAGCCAGTAGCTAATGTCAAATACCTTAGCTATTCCGCCCCAGAAATTATAAAAATAGAACTATATAGTGTAGCGAAAATCGAAACGACCGCTAGCTCCGAACAATCGACCAAGGAAATGGATTAAAGCGGGCCACTTCTGTCATCTGATGGTTTTTCTAGTTAACCACTGACAACAAGTTAACCTCATGAATAATGTCAACTACGGATATTGAGTCTAGTCCTTTGCGGAAAACATTGAGTCAAATGATAGATATTATATGTATTCGTGTTCGCATTGCTTAAGCATTCTGATATATATAAATATATAATGATAATTAATATTGACGTTGTTGTTGTGCGGGGCCTAATAAACTTATAGTATGTATAATGATTATTATTACTTATGCTGCTACTTTTGGGGCTTAGTTGTTAAACTCAGTGCCCCTGAACTATTTTTCTATCCTGCCAGGGACATTGATATGAGGAAACTATGGGCTATCTAGCTAACACAGAGATAAGGTTCTACTCTGAAGCCCGCTTATGCCGAATACTTCATGTAAAAAAACAATCAGTAAGATTAAAATTACGTGTTGTGACCACGTCAGGGTCAATGGAAATAAGAATAAACAACTTATAAAAGCAATACATTGTATAATTATTTAATAAGAAGTATGGCCTTTCTTTTGAAAATTACATGCTGCACGAATCACAAAAACATTCTTGATAATCAATATAAAGAATGATGTTATCTTTTCAATATCTGTTATTGCCAGTGCTACAATATTACGTGCACGCACGATCATGTGGTCCGTGCTATAAAGTCTTCCTTTTTTCAATGGAAAGTAGAAAATTTAAAACCGCTTAAAGGGCTATAAATCTTAACTCTACCCACCTTAAGCATATTTTGTTTAAACGTGTAGACATATTTGGACGCGTTGAAAACATTTAAACTGTCTAAGCAGTCATGTACAGGATGTTCTCAAAGTGCCCGCATTTATATTCTACCCATTTACGTTTCTTTATTATATTTAGCAGTTTAAAGTGACATTATTCTCATGTTGTCAATGTCAAATTAATCTATACCAGGGTATTTTGTATAAAATATATAGTCTATATAGGTTATATAATTAAAAAATGACTGTTTGTGATGACCGACAATCGAAATGTTTAGAATAAAATATAAATCTGCCTAAAGTAAAAAAATACTACCTTCTCTTTCTAAGATGTGAAAACTACAAGAAAATTCCCATGGAAATTTGCAAAAAATACCTTAGGTCTCATGAGTAATTTATCGTTCATGCAAAGTAAGTTGAAAGGAAATATTGCAGAATGTTAACTTTTTATACTTCACCAATGCACTTACTATTATATCTTTTGGTGAGCATACTGTCACTTAACAGTTAATAGAACCAAAATTGTGTTACAATAATGCGTTATATTAGGCTGCAGGAACTATACGAAGCCGATCGGCATCAGGAGACACTGCTTTTATAACTTCAGCCAAAAACACCATCACTTAAACATGTTTCAAAGTTTGATAATTGAATTTTTTACACTAAATCTTAAAATCTACCTGAGAGTGGAATAGTCCGCCCTATAAAAAAACAGGAGTCGGAAAGGAGAGCTCTATCAAGACCTGTCGGATGGACAGCGTGTTCGACTATCAATAAGAATATAATAAAAAATACTTTCTGCATTGTTCTCTACATTAAATGCATATCATTTTCTCTCTC